ACTAAATCATCCCAGCCAGGGCTTTATCAAGCGTGACCTTAAAAACTTCTAAGGAAGGAGATTCCACCACCTCCCTAGGTAACGCATTCCAGTGCTTCACCACCCTCCTAATGAAAAAGTTTTTCCTCATGTCCAACCTAAACCTCCCCCACTGCAACTTGAGACCATTACTCCTCGTTCTGTCATCTGCTACCACTGAGAACAGTCTAGATCCATCCTCTTTGGAATCCCCTTTCAGGTAGTTGAAAGCATCTATCAAAGCCCCCCTCACTCTTCTCTTCCGCAGCCTAAATAATCCCAGTTCCCTCAACCTCTCCTCATAAGTCATGTGTTCCAGTCCCCTAATAATTTTTTTGCCCTCCGCTGGATGTTTTCCAATTTTTTCACATCCTTCTTGTAGTGTGTGGCCCAAAACTGGACACTGTACTCCAGATGGGGCCTCACCAATGTCGAATAGAGGGAAACGATCACATCCCTCGATCTTCTGGCAATGCCCCTACGTATACATCCCAAAATGCCATAGGCCTTCTTGGCAACAAGGGCACACTGTTGGCTCATATCCAGCTTCTCATCCACTGTAACCCCTAGGTCCTTTTCTGCAGAACTGCTGCCGAGCCATTCGGCCCCTAGTCTGTAGCGGTGCATGGGATTCTTCCATCCTAAGTGCAGGACTCTGCACTTGTCCTTGTTGAACCTCATCAGATTTCTTTTGGCCCAATCCTCCAACTTGTCTAGGTCCCTCTGTATCCTATCCCTACCCTTCAGCGTATCTACATCTCCTCCCAGTTTAGTGTCATCTGCAAACTTGCTGAGGGTGCAATCCACGCCATCCTCCATATCATTAATGAAGATATTGAACAAAACCGGCCCCAGGACCGACCCTTGGGGCACTCCGCTAGATACCGGCTGCCAACTAGACATGGAGCCATTGATCACTACCCGTTGAGCCTGACAATCTAGCCAGCTTTCTATCCACCTTATAGTGCATTCATCCAGCCCATACTTCTTTAACTTGCTGGCAAGAATACTGTGGGAGACCGTGTCAAAAGCTTTGCTAAAGTCAAGGAACAACACATCCACTGCTTTCCCTTCATCCACAGAGCCAGTTATCTCGTCATAGAAGGCAATTAGATTAGTCAGGCATGACTTGCCCTTGGTGAATCCATGCTGACTGTTCCTGATCACTTTCCTCTCATGCAAGTGCTTCAGGATTGATTCTTTGAGGACCTGCTCCATGATTTTTCCAGGGACTGAAATGAGGCTGACTGGCCTGTAGTTCCCAGGATCCTCCTTCTTCCCTTTTTTAAAGATGGGCACTACATTAGCCTTTTTCCAGTCATCTGGGACCACCCCCGATCGCCATGAGTTTTCAAAGATAATGGCCAATGGCTCTGCAATCACATCCGCCAACTTCTTTAGCACTCTCAGATGCAGCGCATCCGGCCTCATGGACTTGTGCTCTCCTAGCTTTTCTAAATAGTCCAGAATCACTTCTTTCTCCACAGAGGGCTGGTCACCTTCTCCCCATGCTGTGCTGCCCAGTGCAGCAGTCTGGGAGCTGACCTTGTTCGTGAAGTCAGAGGCAAAAAAAGATCGCCTGCCATATCTACTATTCTTTCTATACATCGGGATGGTTTGTCCCTGTAACCTCAATAAGGATTCTTTAAAATACAGCCAGCTCTCCTGGACTCCTTTCCCCCTCATGTTATTCTCCCAGGGGATCCTGCCCATCAGTTCCCTGAGGGAGTCAAAGTCTGCTTTTCTGAAGTCCAGGGTCCGTATTCTGCTGCTCTCCTTTCTTCCTTGTGTCAGGATCCTGAACTCGACCATCTCATGGTCACTGCTCCCAGGTTCCCATCCACTTTAGCTTCCCCTACTAATTTTTACCAGTTTGTGAGCAGCAGGTCAAGAAGAGCTCTGCCCCTAGTTGGTTCCTCCAGCACTTGCACCAGGAAATTGTCCCCTACACTTCCCAAAAACTTCCTGGATTGTCTGTGCACCGCTGTATTGCTCTCCCAGCAGATATCAGGGTGATGGAAGTCTCCCATGAGAACCAGGGCCTGTGATCTAGTAACTTCTGTGAGTTGCCGGAAGAAAGCCTCGTCCACCTCATCCCCCTGGTCCGGCGGTCTATAGCAGACTCCCGCCATGACATCACCCTTGTTGCTCAGGCTTCTAAACTTAATCCAGACACTCAGGTTTTTCTGCAGTTTCATACCGGAGCTCTGAGCAGTCATACTGCTCCCTTACATACAGTGCAACTCCCCCACCTTTTCTGCCCTGCCTGTCCTTCCTGAACAGTTTATATCCATCCATGACAGTACTCCAGTCATGTGAGTTATCCCAACAAGTCTCTGTTATTCCAATCACATCATAATTCCTTGACTGTGCCAGGACTTCCAGTTCTCACTGTTTGTTTCCCAGGCTTCTTGCATTTGTGTATAGGCACTTGAGATAACTCGCTGATCGTCCCTCTTTCTCAGGATGAGGCAGGAGACCTGCCCTCTCGCATGCTCCTGCTCGTGCTTCTTCCCGGTATCCCACGTCCCCACTTACCTCAGGGCTTTGGTCTCCTTCTCCTGATGAACCTAGTTTAAAGCCCTGATGGAGTTCTTCTGAGCAAGGTTCTGTTAGGGAAGTGAGAGTTGGGGGGGCGGGGGGGTTCCCTAGGCTAAGATAGGCTAGGGAAGAGGTAGTTCAAGGGCCATCTGTTTGCCACTTGATATGACCAATTCAGATGCCTTGCTGCTCCAGTTCCAGCAATCCCAGCTCCTGAGAGTTCAGCAGCAGCACCTGGGCCAGAGGCTTGGCTAGGTGAACTTCTGTGGGCAAGGCCGGAAATCAAGGCTCTTTACAGGTACTTGTCTCAGGAATGCCTCGTAAGCTGCTGTGACACTGATGCAAGGCAGCTGTCTTCAGCCCAAAGTACTGATTGTGGGAGACTGCAGCGTTCCCCATGAGGCTTAGTTACCTTGGAAACCTGTTTTAACGGGATCTCGGCTCCAGCGAAGAGCCCATCTCTACCTGCTCTTTCTTTGTTCCCAGAAAAATAGTTGCCTGGAGTCCTCCCAGGGCTGAATGCCCATGGAATGAAGGCCCTGACCACAGTTTGATTCAGAGGATGAGCTGTAGTGGGGATGGTGCTTCGTGGCTGAATTCCAAGTGCATTAATGCTACTGTGTAGTGGAATGTGCTCCGGGAGGCTGGGGTCGCAGTTACCCTCCCTTTGGGCTGGTATAGGCTCTCTGCTGATATCGGTGAACCTCTGGCATTGGGAGCAGAGCTTTCAGGGCTTTATTCAGGCTCCATTCAGACCACTGTTCTGTCTTCACATCTGTCGCTCACTCCTTTTTCTGCATGCTTGAGTCTCTGGAAACCCAAAGAAATGGACAATTTCCCCCATATCTTGTTGCTTCCCCACTAAATTTTCTGTCCCGTAGCTATTTCCACTTCGGGGCCGGCAGTTCTGCCTCATCTGAAAGCTAGTTTTCCTGTTCTATACAGCACCCTCCCAAATTGGGGCTGGTTTGCTCCCGCGTCCTTGAGAAGGGACTTAAGAATTAGTGTGTGTAACACATACAAGTGAGGACTAGGGTGGAGGGCAGTGGTGGGTAAATACTGTCCAAGGATTAATTGGTCTCTTCGTGCTGTATTGCCCAAAGGCTGAGGCAAATATTGAACACTCGCAGGAGCGATGTTAACACATGGACAACTTCCCCCCACTGCTCCTGCCTTCCAAGTGGGCCGTGGTCTCGCCTTGACTCTGTTACACGCGGGTGGGTGATGACTCTGAGTGAGTCTCCCTGAGACCTTGCTGGAGTTTCCAGGGTGGGTTTCTCACCAGCCATCTTTCTCCAGCACCCATTGCTGTTCCGGCTAGCCTGCTTCTGCTGCCCTCATTTAGCTGGTGCCTGCCTTACTGCTGCTGTTGCCTGGCTGAGCTAGGTCACGGGCTGCAGCATGTGCTGGGTGGCCGCAGTTCCGCAAGCTGGGATGCTGGCTTTGAAAAAGATTAATCAGATCCAAGTTGTACCTGTAAAACCGAGGGCACAGCCTGACATGAAGCTGTTAGCTCCAGGTACTAATCAGTGAATAATAAACAGCCTTTTAAAGTCTGCCTTTACAGCTTCCTAACTTACACGTCTTGTCCACCTAATTTGGCTGTCTTAAAGTCCCAGAACCCCATATCTGGCGGCTGATTTCAGAGTAGAGCACGGGTTTAGAATCTCATGTAGGCAGACCCACAAACCGGGCTTTGGTTCCCGACCGTATCCCACGTGGAGGGGAGGGGAAATCTTTGAAAATCACTCTGACACTAATAATTACCAACAGTACCGATGGTCTGCTTCCGTTGTTGCGAATGTTCAGCATGCAGTGATGCTTTGTAAATTGGACACGCTTAAAGCCCTCTAATTAGATTACCTGAGTTCAAATGAAAGGGCTAACGATCTTTCCCTAGTGTTGGATGAGCCTTTATTGATTTATTTGTATTCAGGTGACGAATCTGAGCTGGGTCTATCGTTTTCTCTGCACAGCCGTAGATAACTGGCACAATAAAGTACCAGATCCTTACTAGTGCCGTCACACCACCGGAGAGGAGCCGTGCCGCGTGTTCTGCTGCCTCGTGTCGTCAACACAAGTGACAGCAGAGTTCTAATTGCACAACCTCATGTTGATGATGTATGGAGCAGAAAGGGGATGGCTGGATTCTCCAGGTTCCAGGCATAGCTTGAGGTGTTGACAGGTAGAAAAACCTCATTGTCAAGTAACTCCACTTGAAACTGACAGATTTGATCTGGAAGTTGATGAAGGAGAATAAACCTGGGATGATGCCAATTTCCACAGTCGTTTATCAGACCAGAATAGCATTTTCACTTGTAAAGCCGTCAGTAAGTTTGAGTGCTTCCTGATCACTGGGCCAGTGGTTAGGATGGTGAAAATGCACTTGTATTTAAATGGCTTCTTGAAAAAGCTTTGATTACTTTTATTCTTTCCCTTAGCTCTGATCAACTTGCTGAAATTCCTCATGTCCAACGAGACTGTGCTGTTGGCAAAACACAACATCTTCACCTTGGCGCTCATGGTGAGTGTAGAGAAACCGGGTTCACATTGAATGACATGGAGGAGAGGGTTCCATGTTGGGTTGGGGCTGGCCTGCTGAACAGGTATTTAAGCTGTGCAGAGATCAACGTACAGCTCTCCAGCTTGGGAACCTATCCATGCTAAGGAAACATAGGGGAACCCCAAAGACAACACTTGTTGGGATGAGGGGTGTGGGCAGAAGGATGCCTGGGATAACTCGTACCAGGGACCTTAGAGGTCCTCCTGTTGGGGGCCAGGGCAATGGTTTGCCAGACAGCTGTGCTCTGGGGGAACTGAAGGGAGATAGAAAAGCAGGAGAAGGGAGATATTAGTCTTGCATACCCAGATGGGGTGGAAGTCCAGTGGTGTAGACAAGATTGAGTTGTCTCCCTGCCTTTGCCAGCCTGGGTGAAGTGTGTTTTGTGGGAGAAATCAGGAAAAGCCAGCTTGGGATGGGAGACCCTGAAACTGGAAAGAGAAGGCTAACCAAACAAGGAAGTGGGGGTGTTGTCTTAATTTCCCATAGAAAATTACTGCCTAGCTAGCCGATTGGCCTGTGTCTGACAGTAGCCAACAGCAGATGCTTCCAAGGGAGGTCCAAGAAACCCCTTAATGGATTGGCAGTTATGTAATAAGTTTGCTCTTAAGGGAAGTTCCTTTCTCATCCCAGGTAGTTGGTGGCTGGTTTATTCCCTGGAGCAGGCAGAGCTGTAGATAACTGGACTCTACAAGCTAATGCTCAGAATTGGTTAGCTCAGTTTTCTGGGTCGTGGTAATGGTGGGCATGCTGTAGCCTCCCCACCCCGTAAAGCATCAGAAATCTGCCTGTCTTAAGGTTTTATCCTGCTGTCCATCGCTGTTGGGTCTGAGCACATTCCACATAAGAAATGACAGAGCAAGAGGGTGGCGTTTGGATTACTCTTTGATGGGCTAAAAGAATATTGTCCAGTGTACTATGGGCTTATTGCTCTGAAGGTTTTAAACACATCTGGGTCTGATTGGCGTCTATTGTAAATTAGATTTTGTGTAATGATCCCCTATTGTAATTTTAATTTTTTTGTAGGTAGTGAACTTGTTCAACATGTTCATCACCTACGGAGATACCTTCCTCCCAACGCCCAGCAGCTACGATGAGCTGTACTACGAGATCATCCGTATGCACCAGAATTTCGATAACCTCTACTCCATGGGTGAGTGAGTGGCCTCTTTGAGATACTGTTGATAAAAACAAGCAGGAAATAAGCTGTGTGTGATATTCGTGGTGGTGCATGTTTGGGGTATGTGAATATAAACATTTCTGTATTTGCATAGATACCCAGTAAATTAGGACTTGAGAAAGGGATAAATCTGTGAAAAGAATAAACTTTTTCTTTTCCAAAAGGACAAAGTAAATTTCATTGGCTCTTTACCAATGGAACAGGCCTGTTAAAGTGATCCAGTCTGGGTGTACAAGAGGGCACCTGTCTAACAAGCATCTGTTGTTAATGCAAATATGAATTTGCCCATGTGACTAAATATGTGATATTGAAATATGTGATATTGAAGGTCATCAGAAACGCCTGAACCCTCATGTAGAGTTAACCAGCCTATAATTTGTCTCTGCCAAGCCATGTTGAGCTCCCAGCTGGGAAAACATGCCTTCGTCTGAGGTTGGAGAGCAAACACAAGCTGCAGAACCAATCAGCACAGGGAAATGGGCATTGTAAACAAAAGGGGTGAAAAGCATTTGAGAAATGCATGACAAGAAACCTGCTGCCTTGGACAAATCACACACTGCGCTCCTGCGGCACCAGAACAAAGCCAGAGAGCACAAACCCACGGGCAGCGAGGAGGAAGTCACTGGACAGAAGAATGTGCACACTGGCAAAGCAAGGAGAAGCCATCCTTCAAAGAGAGAGGAGTGCATTGGAATACCACCCAGTGAACCCAGCAGGGAAGCGAAGAACAAAGGAGAGAAGCAAAAAACATGTGGAGGCATAATCAAGCAGTATACAAATGAGCCTGCATTCAAGAACAACCGCAGCAGGGCTGGTTTAATGCTGCATGCTGGAATCTGCGGATAAAGGGATGTCTGTGTACTCTTTGTCTGCCCCTCTCCTGAAGGGCATGTCCCCCCGGTCCCTCGCACTCCCAGTGTGAACATGTAACTGCCATTGTAAATAATGTGAGTAACACAAGCACATAACAGGGGTTAGAAGGCCTGTAAGAGAGAGCCAGCCAGCCACAGTGCACTACAGACAAGATGCAGAGAAGCACTCCCATTAAAATAAAGATCATTAGCTGTTTCTTACGACTGCAATTGAACTGAGTCTCTGCAGAATAAATGACAGAAATACATTAGAACTGGAAAAAGTGTGGAAAGGGCAACAAAAATGATGAGGTGAATGGAACGGCTTCCGTGTGAGGAGAGATTAGTAAGAATGGGACTGTTTAGCTTGGCAAAGAGACGACTAAGGGGGGGATATGAAAGAGGGCTATAAAACCATGACTGGTATGGAGACAGTGAATAAAGAAGTGTTATTTGCCCCTTTCCATAACACAAGAACCAGGGGTCACCAAACGAAATTAATAGGCAGCAGGTTTAAAACAAACAGAAGGAAATGCTTCTTCATACAACGCACGGTCAACCTGTGGAACTCCTTGCCAGGAGAAGTTGTGAAGGTTAAAAATATAAGTGGGTTAAAAAAAGAACTAGCTATGTTCCTGGAGGATAGGTCCATCAATGGCTGTTAGCCAAGATGGGCAGGGAGACAACCCCATGCTCTGGGTGTCCCTAAACCTCTGACTGCCAGAAGCTAGGACTGGAGGACAGGAAATGGATCGCTCAATAAATTCCCCTGCTTTGTTCATTCCCTCTGGGGCACCTGGCACCGGCTGCTGTCAGAGGCAGGATACTGGGCTAGATGGACCATTGGTCTGACTGAGTCTGGCCGTTCTTATGTTCTTCTGTTTTTATCCCTCTGTTGTAAATTACCTGTTTTTTGTCACCCATGCAAAGTACCAAAGAGTCAGTGGTGCTCACAAAGCAAATGCTGCTGCCCTTCCCTTTGGAGCCAATCACTGCCCAAGGAGCTAAGCTGGTAACGGGGACATGTCTGCACTGGGCAGCGGGTGAAGCCAGAGAAAAGTGGAACGAAGGAATCCACGCTCATACTCTTTCGACTGGGCTGCAATAGGCATGTCTGACCTGCTGAAGCAATTCATTTCTCACATGAGTATGTTTTCCATTCCGCTCTGTGAAGCGAAACCCTGTGAATTCACACTACAGATGCCTGAGTGGAAACCGCTCTGAAGTGATTGCTGCCGGTGTTAGGAATGGGATACTTGCTCTCTGAGAAAACAGTGCTACGCTCAGAGCCGGCATCTTCTTGTCCTCTAGGAAACGGCAGGCGTCTGGGGCTCCTGGAAGCAAGGCGCTACAGCTGTGTCTGGCTAGGCATGCAAGGAGCTTTCCCCAGGCTTTGCCAATGTGCTCGCTCTGCACTTGCCCTTCTGCTGGGCCAGCTGTGGGTGGAGACTAATAATAGAGCCAAAGGACAGGGTCCAAATGGCCCAGTTCTTGTAAAGTTCATAGCACTAGATGTGAAAGAAAGCGAAGAATCAAATGCAGTAAAAATCTTAAATGAACCAAACTGTAGCACAGAATCTCTATGGATAGTAATTCCATGCTCGGATAATAAGAATATAGCGGTAGGGATATATTACTGACCATCTGGCCAGGATGGTGATAGTGACTGTGAAATGCTCAGGGAGATTAGAGAGGCCACTAAAATAAAAAACTCAATAATAATGAGGGATTTCAACTATCCCCATATTGGCTGGGTACATGTCGCCTCAGGACGGGATGCAGAGATGAAGTTTCTTGACACCTTAAATGACTGATTCTTGGAGCAGCTAGTCCTGGAACCCACGAGAGGAGAGACAATTCTTGATTTAGTCCTAATTGGAGCATAGGATCAGGTTCAAGAGGTGAATCTAGCTGGACTGCTTGGTAATAGTGACCATAATATAATTAAATTAAAATTCCTGTGGTGGGGAAAACCCCACAGTGGCCCAACACGGTAGCATTTAATTTCAGAAAGGGGAACTACACAAAAATGAGGAAGTTAGTTAAACAGAAATTAAAAAGTACAGCACCAAAAGTGAAATCCCTGCAAGCTGCATGGAAACTTTTTAAAGACAGCATAATAGAGGCTTAACTTAAATGTATACCCCAAATTAAAAACATAGTAAGAGAACTAAAAAAGTGCCACCGTAGCTAAAGAACAAAGTAAATGAAGCAGTGAGAGGCAAAAAGGCCTCCTTTAAAAAGTGGAAGTTAAATCCTAGTGAGGAAAATAGAAAGGAGCATAAACTCTGGCAAGTGAAGTGTAAAATATAATTAGGAAGCCCAAAAAAGAATCTGAAGAACAGCTAGCCAAAGACTCAAAAAGTAATAGCAAAATTTTTTTTAAAATACATCAGAAGCAGGAAGCCTGCTAAACAACCCGTGGGGCCACTGGACGATCGAGATACTAAAGGAGCACTCAAGGACAATAAGGCCATTGCGGAGAAACTAAATGAATTCTTTGCGTCGGTCTTCATGGTTGAGGATGTTAGGGAGATTACCAAATCTGAGCCATTCTTGTTAGGTGACACATCTGAGGAACTGTCCCAGATTGAGGTGTCATTAGAGAAGGTTTTTGAACAAATTGATACACTGAACAGTAGTAAGTCACCAAGACCAGATGATAATCACCCAAGAGTTCTGAAGGAACTCAAATGTGAAATTGCAGGACTACTAACTATTTTCTGTGACCTATCATTTAAATTAGCTTCCGTACCAAATGACTGGAGGATAGGAATGTGACGCCAATTTCTAAAAAGGGCTCCAGAGGAGACCCCGGCAATTTCAGGCCAGTAAGACTCACTTCAGTACCGGGCAAACTGATTGAAACTATAGTAAAGAACAAAATTGTCAGACACATAGATGAACATAATTTTTTGGAGAATAGTCAACATGGTTTTTGTGAAGGGAAATCAATGCCTTACCAATCTACTAGAATTCTTTGAGGGGGTTAACAAGCATGTGGACAAGGGGAATCCAGTGAATATAGTGTATTTAGATTTCAGAAAGCCTTTGACAAGGGCCCTCACCAAAGGCTCTTAAGCAAAGTAAGCAGTCATGGGATAAGAGGGCAGGTCCTCTTGTGGATTGGTAACTGAATAAAAGATAGGAAACAAAGGGTAGGAATAAATGGTCAGTTTTCAGAATGGAGAGAGGTAAATAGTGGTCTGTATTGGTCCCAGTCCTAGTCAACATATTCAAAAATAATCTGGGAAAAGGGGTAAACAGTGAGGTGGCCAAATTTGCAGATGATACAAAACTACTCAAGATTGTTAAGTCCCAGGCAGACTGCGAAGAGCTACAAAAGGATATCTCAAACCTGGGTGACTAGGCAACAAAATGGCAGATGAAATTCAATGTTGATAAATGCAAAGTAATGCGCATTGGAAAACATAATCCCAACTGTACATATAAAATGATGGGGTCTAAATTAGCTGTTACCACTCAAGAAAGAGCTCTTGGAATCATTGTGGATAGTTCTCTGAAAACATCCACTCAGTGTGCAGCAGCAGACAAAAAAACAAACAGAATTCTGGGAATCGTTAAGAAAGGGATAGATAAGAAGACAGACAATATCATATTGTCTCTGTATAAATCCATGGTAGTCCCACATCTCGAATACTGCCTGCAGATGTGGTTGCCCCATCTCAGAAAAGATATATTGGAATTGGAAAAGGTTCAGAAAAGGGCAACAAAAATGATTAGGGGTATGGAACGGCTGCCGTATGAGGAGAGATTAATAAGACTGGGACTTTTCAGCTTGGAAAAGAGACAGCTAAGGGGGGGATATGATTGAGGTCTATAAAATCATAACTGGTGTGGAGAAAGTAACTAAGGAAGTGTTATTTACTGCTTCCCATAAACACAAGAACTAGGGGTCACCCAATGACATTAATAGGCAGCCAGGTTTAAAACAAACACAAGGAAGTATTTTTTCACACAGCGCAGTCAACCTGCGGAACTCCTTGCCAGAGGATGTTGTGAAGGCCAAGATTATAACGGGGTTCAAAAAAGAACTAGATAAATTCATGGAGGACAGGTCCATCAATGGTTATTAGCCAGGATGGGCAGGGATGGTGTCCCTAGCCTCCGTTTGCCAGAAGCTGGGAATGGGTAACGGGATGGATCACTTGATGATTCCCTGTTCTGTTCATTCCCTCTGGGGCACCTGGCATTGGCCAGTGTCGGCAGACAGGATACTGGGCTAGATGGACCATTGGTCTGACCCAGTCTGGCCGTTCTTATGTGTTTGTGCCCTGAATCTTCCTTTACCCAGGTCTGCAGAGCTGGTGAGCGCTGTACATTAACCCACCTGCTCATGGATTCACAGGGTTTGCTGAAGTAGTACTGATGTTTATAGACAGCCCTAGTGAGGGCACTGTGCTCCGGGGGCAAGAAGCTGTGTCCATGTACAAGTACCAGGTACCCCTTTTCAGAAAATCCTCGCTCCAGGCGTGGAATCATAAATGGATTATTCCTTGACCGTATGAATTCACCCACAGTTCCAGCAGAGCACACTGCGTAAAGAAAACGAGCTTCGTAACTGTGTTTGAGGTGTGGGTGCCGAGATGATGGGCCGCCTGGAAACACTCTGGACCTGAATAAATACCTTGGGCACTCTGTCAGCAGCACACTGGGCTTCCAGAGATGTTCTGCCCGGTCTGGAATGTTTTCAGATCTACTCCCTGACTCTGTGAGGCAGAGGGGGCGTGCTGGTCTCTCTGGGGAGCAGGCTTCTCCCCTTACCGGTGTATGATCCTTCTCTGTGAGGCTGGTTAACAGAGCCAAAGAAACTTTCTGCATGGGGATCGTCTGAAACTACGGGGCGAGATCTAGAACGTTTGGAACCCTGAATAAATAGGAACTGGAGCTGAAGAGAAGGGGAGCAAATGTGGAGTAAGATCCCAGAGAAAGTGGCAAAAGCAGAGAGCAATGAATGAATCCACGACGTTCAGCTCTTGTTTCTGGAGGACGGGGATTTGGAGACACGGAGATAAAATCAGGTTGACAGGACTAGCTCCCCCTCACCCTGCTCCAGAAAAGGAGACTGCACTTTGGCCTATGCAGCTTTTTTATATTCCTAAAATCTCTGAAATGGCCTCAGAAGAGGCTGCGTATTATGGCCCGAGAGTGAGACCCCGTACTCAGGTTGTGCTAACCAGACCGGGGGCAGAGGGTGAGGTTCTGCTGGCCAAACTAAAACAGGTGCGCTCTCGAAGGCTGGTCTCGTTGTGACTCGGCCCTCCGGCTGCCGTTTTACCGGACGTTTCAGGTTAGAATGTGTTGCTCTGTTGTCGGTTCAGTGCCAGCAGTCTTAAGGATCTCTCTCCCTCTCTTTCAGTTCTACGGCTATCGACCAATGCCGGTCAGTGGAAGGAGCCCGCCAGCAAGGTGACCCATGCGTTAGTCAATATCAGGTAAGGCGTGGGAATGAATAGCAGCGTTGGAGTTCTTGGGAGGTGTTCTGCGTGGCTCTGCCCTGTTTCAACACTTCCATGTTTGTTGCACAGAGTTTGTTTTGGAATTTGATTTGCTGTGTTAGGCTAAATTGCTGCCTTCAGCAAAGAGGGTGGAGGGCTCATGAAAGTGTGAACTACTTTTTATAATAATGCTGAGCTCTTCCGGGGGTTCTGTGCTGTCAAAGCACCTAATGAGTTAATCCTTATTGCACCCCTTGCAGGCTGGCAGGGCGATTGTGGGTCAAATGGGCTTTCACTCTTGCTTGATTCCATTGCATTCATGAGTCTAAAATCGCTGCTTCTGAGTTGTCTGCTCGTGGTGTCAGTCTTGCCCACAGAGATCCTCTTTGCAGAGCCCATAATAGAGGCTTTGAGCCCATTCCCAAGCCCCCTTTAAAACTGCAAGGAATTAAAAAAAATAAGGAAAAAAAAATGTAAAAATGCTTATTTGAAGATGGTTTCAGTGGAACCTATTGAACTCTCCTGCCCCGGGGCCACAAATCAGTCACTAGTCAGTGGGGCTAGGGATTAACTGTCCCTATTGCCGTATTAGTCCACAGCTGTAGAGGCTTCCATCAGAGCTTCAAAGTTTCTTGCTCTGAAATTTCTAGTCCCAAGCCATTGCTGAAGACAGAACGCTGGGCTGGATGGCCCAGGGGTCTGACCCAGTTTGGTTGGAAGGTGGAGGGAGGGGAATTTAGTGTTTGACTTCAAAATTAATTTAAAATTAAAAACCCATGTCAGCTACCAAGGCTTGTGCCCACCTGCACCCCAGTCACTCCTTGGCTGTTGGATCCCTTTCTCCCACCTTTTGGTGTGTTTTTCTCATTGCCGATGGGGTGTTCCGTGGGGCGGGCAGGCTCTGCACCATTCTCCGTGCCTGGGAAGCGCCAAGCACCATGTGGGCACCGCCGTGTAAATAATCAGTGGCATTGGCCATATTTTCCAGAAGGGGAAACTGAGGCCCAAGTCCACACTAAACGTCAGGAGCAGAGTCCAAATTGGAAGTGCCCTGAGGCGTGCTGCCTTCCTGGGAAGTAGAACGTAGCTCGGTGGAGCTGTCTAGGTTCTTTGCAATTCTTTCACAACAGACAACAGCGTGTACAAGGCAAACTCCCTCTGAGGGCACATTTCAAGGAAATACTTGTTTTATGTGTCTCTTAACCACCTTTACAGGTTTCGTCTGTAAGTTTCATTTCCTCACTTAGAGCTTCCAGAAGACTTACTTTGTTCCCATCTTTATTTTTCATAAACAGATCTGAAAATGAAACCTTTGTGGGCAGATAATACTCCCTAAATGAAGCCGCAGAGCAGATAGCATTTAAAGTGTCACAAGTGTCTGCCCTTGGAGTGCTCTGGAAATGCAGAAGCCTTTCTCTAAACTGGGAAGGGAGTATTCACAGGTGGAAAGCATGTGGCTGCTCAGGTTTCTAGGCTTGATCTGTAGCCTGTAAACGAGCAGGTTCACTTTCCTGTCTGGGCACTCAGTCTCCCCAACACTTATTCATTAAAAGTGATCCTCTCAAGCAGCTGAAAAGATAAAAGCAAACAATTGGCAACGTGATTTCCTTCCCACTGCTGCCCTCGCCGGGGGCACCCAACAGCCGGCAGAGCGGGTGGACGGGGGAAACTGGCCCCATAGGCTCCTGTTTTAGCTTTGAGAGAGATTTTTGTTGTTGTTGCTCCGTGCGTGCTGTTCTTCCACCCTCCCTTTCAGTTCAGATCCCTTCTGTGTCATGAATTGTAGTTCCCTGTGGGAGGCTGTCAGAGCCCCTCTTCCTGGGCAAAGGTTTTTGAGCAGGTCCTGGTGATGCCACTACAGTATCACTTAGAACCCTGGGATTTCTTTAATCCGTATTAGCCTGGTGGCCGGCCTGCGTGCAGCCCAGACTGCGCTTGGGGGAGCTGATCATCCAGCAGTTGACAAAGATTGTATCCATGCCGCTTCAACTTGAGCAAAGCTCGCGTGGACTTGCCTGCCGACCCTGGCTGGGCTGGAGTGGTGGGTTCTGTTGTGAAGCTGTGTTCTTCCGTCTTGCAGGCGGGGCTTCCATTTCTGTGGGCCGGACTTTCAAGACTATTGCACATAAACCATCACCCTGTTTCCCATTTTAGTCTCTGTAATTTCTCCTCGCTGCTCTGTGCTGTCTGCTGGGGCCTGCAGCATCTGCTGGTCACACATACTGTGTGAAAGGCGAGAAGGGCTGCGTTTCTCCCAAGGAAGGCAAGGCATTCCGATTTAGGCAGGTTGTTTATGCAGGTCTCAGTTGGTCAAAATGTGGGCACTCCTGCATCTTGGACTGGCATATCATGGAAGCTTTAGAAACTGGCTTTTACCCTTAATCCCAACCAGTGGCTTGGTGCCAGTGGGCCATTGTCTACTGTTGGCATGTTTTGTTCAAAGACTCTCAGCTTCAACCGTCAAGGAAAGATTTGGGTTGTTCTCTGCATACAAGCAGAGCTACGTTTTGGTCCTCATTGTGATGGCTGAAGTTAAATTACTCCCAGGATGGGAAGTTGGTGGTTGCCTAGGGATCAGTGATCATGACCTGATTGCTTTCAATAAAGGCAAATGGAGGACAGTCCCAGCCAATGATATACATACTTAGTACTTCAAAAGGGCTCATTTCCCAAAGATGAAGAAAATTATTAGTGAAATTGATTGGGAGGAAAAATGTAGACAGAAAAATATGAATGAAAAGTGGGAGTATTTTAACTGATTAGGTGGCCAAAAAGCCACAACACCACAATCAAGAAAGAGGACAACTTTGGCTAAAAGCCCATTCTTGTTCATTTGGGGGAGTGAAAGCAGAGATTAGAAATAAAAAAGCAATGTCAAACATGGGGAAAAAGGGGAAATAGATTGCAATCGATATAAATGAGGAGTCATGAAGTTTTAGCAAATTGATAAGGTAAGCTAAAGACCAGGGAAACTCTATGGCTGGCAGAGCCAAGGGCAATAAGGAGGATTTTAAGTATATTCGGAATGAAAGAAATCCAAGTGGTGGTATAGACCCATTATCAGATGGAGATGGTAACATTGTTGTTAATGAAAAGGCAGAAATTTTTGAGATATTTCTATTCAGCGTTTGAAAAGGAGCAGGATGATGTATTGAAATCACACGAGGATGAGGAAGTACTTTCCAATCCATTAGTTACTGCGGAGAACAGTGGTGCTGGAACAGTTTTTATAATGGGGGTGCTGCAGATGGAAATCATGTATTTGGGTTGTTGCTACCACTTCAAGCCAACAGGTCCGGCAGCACCCCGGTTCCAGCACCTACGATGGAGAATGTTAAACAACATCTGCTAGAGATAAACATTTTGAAATCTGCAGGCCCAGATAACTTTCACCCGAGAGTCCTAAAAGAGTTGGCTGGGGAGATGTATGGCTTGCTGCTGTTAAATTTTAATAAATCTTGGAGTACAGGGGAAATACCAGAAGACTGGAAGAGCGCTAATGTTGTGCCCTATTCATGAACGGCAAGTGGGTTGACTAGGGTAAGTATAGACTGGTTAGCCTGGGCAAAATAACGGGAACGCCAATCCAGGATTCAATCACCAAAGAATTAAAGGCTAGGAATACAATTATTGCCAACAACGTGGTTTTTTGGAAAATAGTTCTTGCCAAGCAAACCTGATCTCATTCTCTGAGGTAAGTTTGGTTGATAAAGATAACTGCAGATGTAATATACTTCACTTCTGTAAGGGGTTTGACTTAGCATCACATAGAATCATAGAATATCAGGGTTGGAAGGGACCTCAGGAGGTCATCTAGTCCAACCCCCTGCTCAAAGCAGGACCAATCCCCAACTAAATCATCCGAGCCAGGGCTTTGTCAAGCCTGACCTTAAAAATATCTAAGGAAGGAGATTCCACCACCTCCCTAGGTAACGCATTCCAGTGCTTCACCACCCTCCTAATGAAAAAGTTTTTCCTAATGTCCAACCTAAACCTCCCCCACTGCAACTTGAGACCATTACTCCTTGTTCTGTCATCAGCTACCACTGAGAACAGTCTAGTTCCATCCTCTTTGGAACTCCCTTTCAGGTAGTTGAAAGCAGCTATCAAATCCCCCCTCATTCTTCTCTTCTGCAAACTAAACAATCCCATGTTTGTCTCTCTTCATAAGTCATGTGTTCCAGTCCCCTAATCATTTTTGTAGCCCTCCGCTGGACGTTTTCCAATTTTTCCACATCCTTCTTGTAGTGTGTGGCCCAAAACTGGACACAGTACTCCAGATGAGGCCTCACCAATGTCGAATAGAGGGGAATGATCACATCCCTCGATCTTCTGGCAGTACCCCTACGTATACATCCCAAAATGCCATTGGCCTTCTTGGTAACAAGGGCACACTGTTGGCTCATATCCAGCTTCTCGTCCACTGTAACCCCTAGGTCCCTTTCTGCAGAACTGCTGCCAAGCCATTCAATCCCTAGTTTGTAGCGGTGCATGGGGTTCTTCTGTCCTAAGTGCAGGACTCTGCACTTGTCGTTGTTGAACCTCATCAGATTTCTTTTGGCCCAATCCTCTAATTCGTCTAGGTCCCTCTGTATCCTATCCCTACCCTCCAGCGTATCTACCATTCCTCCCAGTTTAGTGTCATCTGCAAACTTGCTGAGGGTGCAATCCACACCATCCTCCAGATCATTTTTGAAGATATTGAACAAAACCGGCCCCAGGACCGACCCTTGGGGCACTCCACTTGATACCGGCCGCCAACTAGACATGGAGCCATTGATCACTACCCGTTGAGCCCGACAATCTAACCAGCTTTCTATCCACCTTATAGTGCATTCATCCAGCCCATACTTCCTTAACTTGCTGGCAAGAATACTGTGGGAGACTGTGTCAAAAGCTTTGCTAAAGTCAAGGAGCAACACGTCCACTGCTTTCCCCTCATCCACAGAGCCAGTTATCTCGTCATAGAAGGCACATGTCTTTCTGGTTAAAAAATA